AAAAGAAGACATACATGAGGCCAACAAACATGAAAAAATGCTCTTCATCACTGATTATTAGAGAAATGCAAATCAAAACTACATTGAGATACCATCTCATGCCAGTTAGAATGGCGATCATCAAAAAATCTGGAGACAACAGATGCTGGAGAGAATGTGGAGAAATATGAACACTTTTACACTGTTGGTGGGAGTGTAAATTAGTTCAACCATTGTGAAAGACAATATGGTGATTCCTCAAGGACCTAGAAATAGAAATTCCATTTGACTCAGCAATCCCATTACTGGATATGTACCCAAAGGACTATAAATCATTCTATTATAAGGACACATGCACACGAATGTTCATTGAAGCACTGTTTAAAGTAGCAAAGACTTGGAACCAAGCCAAATGCCCATCGATGATAGACTGGACAGGGAAAATGTGGCACATATACACGATGGAATACTGTGCAGCCATAAAAAAAGATGAGTTCGTGTCCTTTGTAGGGACATAGGGACATGGATGAATCTGTAAACCATAATTCTCAGCAAACTGATACAAGAACAGAAAATCAAACACCACATGTTCTCACTCACAGGTGGGTGTTGAACAATGAGAACACATGGACACAGTGAGGGGAGCATCACACACTGGGGTCTGTTGGGGGATGCCAAGGGAGTGACAGCAGTGGGATGGGGAGGTCTGGGAGGGATAACACTGGGAGAAATGCTAGATGTAGGTGACAGGGGGATGGAGGCAGCAAAAACATATTGCCATGTGTGTACCTATGCAACAATCCTGCATGATCTGCACATGTACCCCAGAACCTAAAGTACAATAAAAAAAATTAAGAAAGGCTGGATGAGAAAAAGAGAGCTTATAAAAATACATTATTGGAAAGGAGCCAAAAATTGGCTTTAATTGTAAATAATAAAAAATTGAGTGAGGAAGACTTACAAGAGAAATTCAACCAATGTTGGGAAAAACAGGTCTGTGATGTGTCCACAACTCTTCCTAAAGTCACAGAGCCTGACAATGATTTGGATTCTGAAAACATCCTTTGAGATTATTTGAAAAATGAGATGGGTGTCATGGATGTACTGACAAGAAATTCTTTTTTTCCCTTTCTTTTTTAACTTCATTGGATTGGGACCTGAAAGAAGAGTGACAAGAAATTCTGCAGATAAGTTTCAGATTAATTATGACAACCATGTCAAAATGACTAAGAAATATAACTTAATCTTGAAATAATATGATCAGTAGTCATATTCATGAACTCTTTCTCAAGGATGATTAATGTCATTAAGAAAGAGTTCATGAGTATGGCTAACTGACCACATTGTTTCAAGATTTAATAAAACTATTAACAATATTTGGAATAAACAATGTGATTGCAATCCAAAATATTTCCAGAGAATTCTAAAGACAACAGATGAAGTGAAATCTGCATCTACTCAGGAAAGATACACATTTAAAAATAAATATATTATTGATTTATGTGTGTGCTTATTCCAAAGATCAACAGAATTGTAACGAAATGCACAGGGCATTCAAGACAGCAAATGATCCTGTAAACTATCTAGAAAGCAAGAAAGATGATTTCTTCATGAGGTTTAAGATTTCCTGTCAGGAAGCCACCTCCAGCAAAGCACTTGTTGATTTTCTGTGGCACAAGCTCATTCCTGGTGTCTCTACCATCATAGGGAGCAAAACAACCATTAAAATTGCAGGGGACATGTAGGCTACCTGCCCTGCATTCAATGGAAACAGGGCTAACCTGGAGAAACAAATTCTCACGTCTCTGGCAAAATAAGGAAACTTTGGTACTTACTGGCAATACCTTCATAATAAGAACAGTTTTTAAAGGAATTACATCAAAATCCTTATTAAGAGATACTGTTTAGACAATGTAGGTAAAAAAAGTGAAAATATTTTGAGAAAAGTTTAGTTGACATTAATAATGGCATCCTCTCTGCCCTTCATGAAGCCACATCCATCAGTAGCTAAAGATAAAAGCAGCACTGCTTCAGGGTGGTTGGATTTATTCTGTGATCAGAACACAGAGCAACCTGATCTTTCCACAGAGGACTTGACAAGCATTAAACACCAGGAGATAAAAGATATTCAGTTTCTCAGAGAAGACACGAGTGCAGCTTTGGATCTCACAATGAAGAGAATAGAACAAAATTATTCAAGTATGCCTATGGAAGTAATGTTTTCTAACATTGAGAAAATGCTCTCTGAACATCTCTGTGGCTGCTGGAAACAGTGTCCCTGCTGTTGAGCAATTTATGCAAACACAGTTCCTACACATGAAGGACACCACAGTGTTCCCTTTGCCTGTCCTCAGGCTGTCTATGGAGAAGAATGGTATGAAACAGACCATTCTGTCATTGATTGCTGTACTAGTTAGGTAGCAAGTGATTGTTCATTGGTTTTGCACAATGACAGAAGAATCCCATATAAGAAGTATTCAAAAGGCAGGAGGGGATTATACCACATGGATCATCACTCTAGATTCCTCCACCCAGTCATCTTGGAAATGGTTTCTTTCTTACTTTGGATCAGAGCTAGAATATAAATATCAGAAAAAAATTATAGGTAAAGGTAAACTCCCTAACTCATGGGCCAAAATCCAAAAGCAGGACATGCTTAAAGATTTGAAAAAACGATAATACTCAGTGATCACAAAAGAGCGCTAGTGTCTGAATAGAAGAGTCAGTGTACCTGAACAATCCCAAAACAACTCCTTCTTATAATTAGAACTGGTATGGTTTGGCTCTGTGTCCCCACCCAAATCTCATCTTGTAGCTCCCATAATTCCCACATGTTGTGGGAGAAACCTGGTGAGAGATGATTGAATCATGGGGCTGCTCTTTCCTGTGCTGTTCTAGTGATAGTGACTGGGTCTCATGAGATCTGATGGTTTTAAAAATGTGAGTTTCTCTGCACAAGCTCTCTTTGCCTGTGACCATCCACTTAAGATGTGACTTGCTCCTCTTTGCCTTCCACTGTGATGGTGAGGCCTCCCCAGCTATGTGGAACAGTAAGTTCAATAAACCTCTTTCTTTGTAAATTGCCCAGTCTTGGGTGCGTCTTTATCAGCAGTATGAAAACAGACTAATACAGTAAATTGGTACCAGTAGAGTGGGTCGTTGTTGGAAAGATACCTGAAAATATGGAAGCGATTTTAGAACTGTGTAACAGGCAAAGGTTGAAACAGTTTGGAGGGCTCAGAAGACAGCATGGAAAGAGGCTTTAGGGACCATTCCTACCAACTTAGGTTCTGAGCCAGCGCCTGTGGACTCAAGCTCCAGGTCCACCCCAGCACCAGATTAGCCTGATGGAAACAAGGTTTAGTCTAGTCCCTGCAGATACAGGCTCTAGGGTAGCCCTCATGGACACAGGCTTGAGGACCACTTTTGTGGACCCAAACAACAGGTCCAGCCCAGTGAATCCAGGCTCCAGGCCCAATCTCTAGAACCCAGGGGCCAGGCTTGCCTACCTCCTGACCCAGGCACCAGCCAGCCTGGCAAAGGATTTCAGCAGCAAGCCTGCCTGCACTTCACACCAATGACTTTTTCAGAATCTCTGGGTAGGCTGAATGGTGAAGGTCTCTCTCAGACAGAGACAGTCTGCAAGAATTGAAATAAGTCTTTTTTGTTTTCAACAAAATCACAGAAACCAGTGTAGTAACAGGGATCAAGAAAATCAGGGAAATGTATTACCACCAAAGGAACAAAATAAAGCACTAGAAACTGATCCTAAAAAATGGAGATTTATGAATTGTCTGACAAAGATTTTAAAATAATTGTTTTAGGGAAGCTTAATGGTGTTCAAGAAAGTCAGAGAGACAATTCAATGAAATAAGGAAAACAATAAACTAACAAAAGAGAAAAATTAACAGAGATTATGCTTATACAAAAAACTCAAACAGAAATTCCAGAGCTGAAATATAAAATAAATGAATTGAAAATTGTAATAGAGAGTGTCAACAGCAGAACTGATCAAATAGAAGAAAAAATCTGTGAACTCAAAGACATTTTATTTAAAAAATATATTCAGGAGAGAAAATAAATGAAAGGAATGAAGAAATCTTAGAGAATTTATGAAAGAGCATTAAAAGGGCAAATATTCACAGTGCAGAAGGTCAAGAAGTAGAAAAGAAAGATATGAAACAAAAAGCTTAAAGAAATAATAACAGAAAACTTTCCAAAGCTGAGGAAAAATATAAATATCCATGAACAGGAAAGTCAATGGTCTTCAATAAGATTCAATACAAATAAGAGTACATCAAGATATGTTATCATCAACATATCAAAAATCAAAGACAAAGATGGACCCTGAAAGCATCAAGACAAAAGAAGAAGAGCACATATAAGGGAGTCCTAATATGGATAGCAGTGGGTTTCTCAGGAGAAATTTTGCAAGCCATGAGAAGGCTGGATGATATATTCAAAGTGCTGAGGGTAAAAAACCAGCCAACCAAGAATACAATACTCAGTGAAGCTGTCCTTCATAAACAGAGAGACAAAGACTTTCCTACACAAAGAAAAGTATAAAAACAAAACTATTAAAAACTATGTGATCCAGCAATCCCACTCTGGGTGTATACCCAAAGAATGTAAAATTAGTATGTTTAAGAGATAGCTGCACTGTGTTCATTGCAGCATTATTGTCAATATCCAAGCTATGGAATCAACCTAAGTGTCCATCAATGAATGAAGGGATTAAAAAATATGAAATGTATACACGATAGAAACTCCTTTAAAAAAGAAGGAAATCTTGTAATTTGTAACAATGTGAATGAACCTGGGGAACATTATTTTAAGAGAAATAAGCCAGGTATAGAAAGAAAAATATCACATCATCTCACTTATATGCAGAACCTGTAAGTTGAATTCATAGAAACAGAGAGTAAAACGTTGGTTACCAAATGCTGAGGTAAGGGGATTTGGGAGATGCTGGTCAAAGGGCACAAAAATTCAGTTAGACAGGAGGAAAACGTTCCAGAGATTTATTGTACATCACAGCAATAATTAGAATATATTGTATACTTGAAAATTGCTGAGAAAGCAGATTTTAACTGTTCTTAACACAAAAAAGATAAGTATTTCAAAACATAACATTGTACCACATTAATACATACAATTTTTGTCAATAAAAATAATAAACAAATGTTTCATTTCTAAAAGGAAACAATAAAATAATATATTTTTAAAAGGCTTTTTACAATTTATCCATATAACAGCCAAAATGTTTTAAGCACAATTTACTAAGCTGTGGTCTAAGTATCTGATATTTATTATCTTATTTAATTTACCCAACAATATCATGAGAGCAGGCCTGTAAATATCACCACTTTTAACAACAGCAGACTGAGGTACAAAGAGTTTAATTTAGTGTCCAAAGATGCATAGATGACCAAGGGAAGAGAGGGATTCAAATGCAGGCACTCTGGTCCCTTTCCTCATCACTACTTAAAAAATATCATCTCACAGCAAAGAAGAAGATTCACCAAATTTCAAATGAAAAAACCCAGGACTTTCATTATCATGGATATTTAAATTCAGTAAAATACATGTATGTACAACAAAAAAGAAAAATTTGTAAGTGATTTTTTATTCATTCTAAATTTCTTAATTTTCTCAGTTTTTATAATAACTTGGATTAATTTTATAGATTATATTTATCTTTTATGGTTTAGCTTTATAGATTAAATAATGTAATATTATTTCTGTAGAAAAAATTATTATATGTTGACAAAACACTATTCTCAATAATAATAACACCTATATAAGCCAAGTTATTCTGGAAATTCTGCACTCAACAAATTTAAGTTCCCTGATTTTGCTATAAATCTTCCCATACCAATGAATAAAATGAAAAAAAAGCATATTTGGCTAGCTAAAAAGTAAATTATATATTTTATACTTTTTTTTTCCTATGGACACACAGATATACATACTCACCTCAAGAGTATAAGCTTTTTCAATTGTTTTAATGTTTAAAACATTATATCTACATTTAAAAAAATTTAGACAATATGCCCAACAAATTTCTCTCATTGTTATTGTGCTCACTTTAAAAGAGGTACTTTCAATTCTATCTTATTTATTCTTTATTTTAGTTTTACTTTTAGGCAATGCCATTTTCAAAAAGACTCTGTCAAAATTTCCAAGTAGAAATATCTTTCTTTATCCCTTTCCACTTTATCTATTTATTTATTTAGACAGAGCCTCCGTCGCTCAGGCTAGAGTGCAGTGGTGTGATCTTGGCTCACTGCGACCTCCACCTCCCGGGGTCAAGCAATTCTCCTGCTTCAGCCTCCAGAGTATCTGGGATTACAGGTGTCTGCCACTATGCACAACTAATATTTGCATTTTTAGTGGAGACCGGGTTTCACCATGTTGGCCAGGCTGGTCTCAAACTCCTGATCTCAGGTGATCTGTCCGACTTGGCCTCCCAAAGTGCTGGAATTACAGGTGTGAACTACTTTGCCCAGCCTCACTCTTTCAATGTAATTATTTATCATTACACAGGTACCAATGTGAACGTCTCTTCAGGTGTAGAGTACAAATGCAGTCACATATCTCTTACTCATTTCCACTAAGTACTCAAACACTTATCTACTTAATAAACAGGAAGCCTAATATATTTTCTGAAAATTCTTCCCTCTATTAATAAAGAATCTGCTTCAAAGGGAGCAGTCCTCTGGTGCTGAGAGGCTACTGGAATTTGGTCAGTCCAAAACTACTGCTGCTTCTTACTGCTGTATGATGTTAAAATGGAAAGCTAAGCCCCTACCATTTCTACTTGGTAATGTGTCAGGATGACGCCCTACCAGAGAGTGAGTCTACCACACCCATTCAAGGCTTTCTCCCCACATCTAGTTCTTCTTATAACATGGATTTCCAAAGTCAGGATGATGTGTGCCAAATGAGTTTAACTCAAGATCATTGTACACACCAGCTACAGAGTAGAAAATAAAAGTAAAATTTTAAAAATATTTGTATCATCTCGGAGTATAGTAATAAAGAATGAGTAAGTAGAGAATTTTATTTGGAGGAGGAATGTGAGAAGCAAGCCATTAGCCATCCCTAGAGCGTGGAGTGTGCCAGCAGCACATATTTTCCCAGGACCCTCCTCAGGGCCCCCATGACTTCCTTATTTCTCAGGCTGTAGATGAGGGGATTCAAGGCTGGAGTGACAATTGTGTAGAACACAGATATGATGTTGTCTTGTTTGGGACTATGGAAGGAACTGGGCAAGACATACATGAATGTGGCAGCTCCATAGAACATCCCAACTACAGTCAGGTGGGAAGAGCAGGTGACAAGGGCTTTCTTCCTCCCCTCATTTGATGGCATATGGAGCACAGTGAATAAGATTAGTGTGTAGGAGGCAACAATGGCAGAAATGGGGAGCAAGAGAAAAGTCACTCCTGTCATGTATATTATAAGTTCATACCTGGAGGTATCAGCACAGGCCAACTTCAACAAGGGTGGGATCTCGCAGAGCAGATGCCTGATTTCCCAGGACATGCAGAAAGGAAAGTGCATGGTGTACATGGTATGTCCTAGAGCAGTCAGAGATGCCAGGATCCAGAATGTGGCCACCATGAGCCAGCAGACTCTTGGGCTCATGAGGGTCATGTATTTCAGTGGATGACAAATGGCCACATACCTGTCATAGGCCATGAAGGCCAGTAGGAGGTCTTCAGCGCCACCCATTGTCAGTGCCAGGAACATCTGAAGGGCACAGCCTCCAAAGGAGATGGTGTTTTCTCTGCGCAGAAAGTCTGCAAGGGCCTTGGGAGTGACAACAGATGTGAACAGGAGGTCCATGAGAGAGAGCTGCCCAAGCAGGAGGTACATGGGCACGTGGAGCCGGGCTTCCATGGTGATGGCCAGGAGCAGCAGGCCATTGCTGGTCAGGGCCAACAAGTAAAGGACAGTAATTGTAGCACAGACCACTTCAGGAGACCCACTGTCATTTAGAATTCCCACCAAGATGAAGGCACTTCCCAAGGTGGAGTTCCAGAGCTCCATGATGTGTTTTTTTTTAGTGGCCTAGAACAAAATATATTATCAGTGGAAGCTTTTCTAAAAGTGTTCACTCTAGCTTTGGATTGTTCTAAGTCATTTTGCATTGGCCAATAGGAATCACATAATATGGTATCTTTTTCATCTCTTAATGTAACTCTGATTGCTTTTCTTTTTTTTTGAGACTGAGTTTTGCTCTTGTTATGCAGGCTGGAGTGCAATGGTGGGATCTCAGCTCACTGCAACCTCCGCCTCCTGGGTTCAAGCAGTTCTCCTTTCTCAGCCTCCTGAGGCAGGGATTACAGGCATGCGCCACCATGCCCAGCTAATTTTTTGTATTTTTAGTAGAGACGGGGTTTCACCATGTTGACCAGGATGGTCTCGATCTCTTGACCCCGTGATCCACCCACCTCGGCTTCCCAAAGTGCTGGGATTACAGGCGTGAGCCACCGCACCCGGCCCTGTAACTCTGATTTCTGAATGCCTTTATTAAATTATGATAAACCATAAACAAAATTAGTATCAGGTATTTTGGTATGTTGTTAATAATCATTTAGAAATCCCTTCAAATAAGGTTCCAGAAGAACAAGCCCAAGCAAACATCTTTGTAGATAGATGAAAACGTCTCTCTTTTTACAATGAACAAATACACTGGGCATTGGTTTAAGATATAGCTATTTTTCTGCTTAACATGTACTTGGAATTCCAATTCAGTTTTTCAAGTTGTATTTATAAAAAAAATCTTTACTGTCTTCTCCCTTAAACCAGTCTCATTGTTGTTGATTACCTGCCTCAATAGGAGACTCTCTGGGCTCTTGGGCTGCTTGATCACCTGGACTCTTCAACTGCTACTCTGCTGGATGGAAAGAGAATTCTTGGCTGAATTTAACAGTCATGTGGTATAGATTTTAGAGGTAAATCTAGAGGAACAGTACAAAAGAAGTTTGCCTATTTGAAAATAACAATAAGAGGTTTACTCAGAAACAGGCAGGAATAAAGGCAATGAGATTTGTGGTGGCATGGTAGGTGTTTGTGTTTAGGGCACTTGATAAACGGGGTCAGCTACAAAGGAGGAGACATTGCAGAAAAGGCCCAGAGCAATAGCATTACCTGTGAGCCACAGCAACACACTCAAGGTGAGAAGATTTCTCCCCACTAATCTTAGGAATATAAGGAAGAATGGTGGTCCTGCCGAGCCCTGAATCCATATGACAGCACTGCTGGTAGGGATTGAGAAGGAGAGGCGGAGTGTGAGGTATGCGTGGGACAGCATTCACTTGGCTTGATCTTTATGAATGCAGTTTTTTTCACAGTTGGATGGAAGACTTAGGAGACATTTTGGAAGAGAAAAAATAATTCTTCATCAAATTAGTTATCTTTCCCTTGAATAATCTGCACCTACTTCTTCAAATGTCCATTTATGTCACTCTCCTGGTCAACTCAGAGTTAGAACCTTGAAGTGGTAAGGTCATAAAAACCTGACATTGGAAGGCCCATCCGTTCCAGCTTCTTTTATCCATTCAATAAATATTTACTAAGGGCCTATGATATATCAGGCACTACACTTGGGCAACTGCGTAGATGTGAAAAATTGATCACACAAACACCTACATACAGCCAGTGGTGATGATTGATAAATGAGAGAAAATATACTAAGAGAACATATAAATGAGGTCTCAGGAAAGGATTCATCAAGGAAGTGTCATACAAACTACAGGCTGAGGATCAGCAGGCGTTGGCTAAATAAAAAAGGGTCAGGATATAATTTTTAAAAAATGAGGGGTATCAGAGCATCAGAACATTAACATATTAAAAATATAGTACAGGAATGTCCTCCCTGCACTTTTGCAGTAAAGTCTGGGCAGAAACCAGACAGAAAATGCCCTCTACCACTCAGAGTCTAAGATCTTTCTCCTGTCTTACAAAACGAAAACTATAATTTTAACCTAGGAATCACTGACTGGAAAAACTTATTTGTCTGTTGACAACAAAAAGACAAGTCCAAAAACAATTCTAAGCACTATTTCTGCTAAATATTAGATTTGAAATGCTTTTGTTTTTCTCGAATAAAAAGATGGATGGACAGGGAGAGAAAATGAGTAACACTATTAGCTGGGCACGTTCCTCTAGATTCTTGCACCAGATGTTTGGACAGAATTTCAAAGAGAACAAAAATCAGGGCTTGAGTAAGGTGGCGTAACCAGGACTTAGGATCCTACATAGGTCTCTCCTCCCTCTGATCCTGGACTATCGTTTTTCCCTCCTTTTCCATTCACTGGGTCCTCCCCTCTGGGGTCATCTAAAGGGAAAGGCCAGAGAACACACAGAACCTACAGAGGAGGAGCTTCTTTCTAAAAAACTGCTGGTGGTTGTGGGTATTTCAAACCAAGAGAAGTCAGCAGAAGCTGAGATTAAGAGAGGCATTGTTATAGTTCATAGAAAATGGTCAGTCAATAATAAGACAGAGCTAAATTTTTGAAAGCATATTTGTATAAATTTTTTTTTTCTCTGCTCAGTAGATCTATTTTTCGAATTTATATCAATTGGCTTTTTTTTTTTCCTGTGGCACTGGACTTAGTGCCAAGCAGACCTGCAGGGGAAAATCACTTCAGCATATTTTAGATAGTCGTCCTTTGAGGTACTATTCATTTGGGGACTCACATCAAACTATTGTAGGCCAGGAAAGTCCAGATGTAACAAAGGTAAGTGCTGAGACTTTTACCAGGAGATCAGCATCAGGAATTCTAGGAACTCACGGCTGGCTAGTGGCACAGAATTATTTTGGGTGTCCCACATGTGCAAGACGGTACATGTACAAGGCATAGATGGGAGTGAGTGAACAATGACCTGAGAAACGAGAGAATCTGAAAAGGAGAGCAGTGTAGGGTCTTGACCCTGTATCTCAGGACTTCCGGACTTCACATATTGCCTTGAAACAGAGACACAGCCCTTACCTCATATAGGAAGAAGCACAGCTTCCAGACCACACCAACTCTCTTGAGAATCATTTGAGGGATAAAGAGGTTCAAGAAGACAAAGAAAGAAGAGTTGGTTCATCTGGCAGGGATGAATGTAGGTGAGTGTATGGCTGTCTCTGGGATGAGAGGTCAAAGGCTCCTCCAGTCACCGGCAATTCAAATCCTCTCTAGGAGTAGAGATAGATGCAGACAGGCAGCTGAGAACCCAGGGCAGGATCCTGCAGCAGGGAGCTGAATCTCCTCCAAAGTTTTCTCATCCACTGTCCTTATGAAAAGTCCTTACTGCTTTGGAATGGTTCTAGCTGAGTTCTTGAGTCCAGGTCCTCAGATTTCACATATTCCCCTTATGCTGTGATCAATGATAAAAGAGGAGCCAGCAGGAATGTGGGAAAGGGAGGTATAAGAGGAGCTGCTTAAAAGAGACCCACCAATGCCCAGCCTCACTCTCCCTGGGCCAACAGTGAGCCTTGTCCTGGGGGAGGCTTCACAGTCTCACCCTCTCAGCTGACATGACCTTCCTGAAAATGTTGCTCCAGGAAATGGGATTTTAATGAGTCCCCTTGGGCATGTCTCCTGGCCTGCCATTTCTTCAAACTTTACCACCAAATGAGCTCTGCACCTTGAGGCCTTGTTCTGCCCCTCATGAACTTGCTATGGTTCATCACTCACTGGAGTCTAAGATCTTTCTTCTGCCTCACAAAACCAAAACTATTTTTAACCTAGAAATCACTGACTGGAAAACCAGTCAGAGGCTGTTTCTGATCAAATGGCTGTTTCTCACCTCCCTGTCCAGCCCTCTATTCATATCATAAAGGATGTCTCATGGGTTCTATAAATGCTGCCACTCCCATATCCCTCTTTGTGCCATATCCCTCTACCAACTAGAGGGAGTTAACTACGCTTCTGTTAATATCAGGTCTTCCTTCATTGAGCTTTAATGAGCATCCAACACTAATTTATTTTTTAGTCCTTTGTTTCTCCTTTCTACTCCCTCTTGTGTGGTGCACACAGGTGCATGGGAATACATATTCTGTGATCAGTCAGCTCAGCTGCTCAGAGCTCTGGGATGATGACACAGAACCTGCCTGCACTCACCACTGCTTTTAGTTCAGGCCTTCCCATCCCTCACCTGATTCTTTGCTTGATCTTCCTCATGAAGTGATTATCTCTTTAATCACTCATTACACCAGGAAATGCTGAAAATTGCTGCTGGAATTATCACATCTTTTCTCTTTGAACTTAAAAATTGAAAATAAGTTTCTACTTTCTGTTTATATAAAAATATACTCAAGAAAATTATTTCAGAAGTGCAAAAGAAGAAATAATATAAAAATCTTTCTATTTTTTCATTATAAAAAGAATGTACTGAAAAGAAGGTTTTAAACATGTAAAGGATAAGAACAGCATTATTTACAATACAATAAAAACTGGAAACAACCTTTACACCCACCAACAGTGAAACAGATAAATATTCACCAAAGGGTTACTCAGTAGCAATCAAAGCAAAGGAACCAGGGCATATAACACAAGAAGTAACTCAGGAAACTAATATTAAGGGAAAAAAGAGAGACCTTAGGATTTTATATCATGGTACTTCGGTACTTCTTTTACGGAGTTAAGAACTTAAGTGAACATAAACTTTATATGAATACATGTACATTCAATAAAACTACATAAAAATGAAGAGAATGATGGACATAAAATTTGGGTTAATAGTTACAGTGAAAGGAAGCAGATGGCTGGACTGCTAATGACTATTGTCAAGTCCAGATCTACTACTTGCCACACAACAGCCAATAAGTTGAGAGACAAATTGTTGGGGCAAGGAAGACAACTTTATTTCAGACAGCCAGCAAACTGAGAAGATGGTGGACTAATATCCTAAAGAACTAAAGTTGACTAATTTTAGGCTTTTTTTTTATGTTAGAGGGAGGGAGAACAGGGATGGGGCTAAGGCCAGGTGGTAACTGATGACCACAGATGTCTGGGCATCTGTAAGGGTCTGAGAAGGTTGCAAAACTTCTTCATTCATGGTCAACTACTTGTCAAGTCCACCTTGTTTCTATAAATCTTTAATCATTCTTACTTATATGCATACTTCCATATTTCCTTGGGGGTCTGT